AATTGCAATCCTCTGTCATTTTTAATTCTGTTAACGCTTCCTCTCATGCAATAATTAAATTTGATGACGCACTTAAAACAATGGGATTTCTCATACAACCCAGAGATCTCATGTCGTGTAGGTATGGGCGCTTTCACGTGGTGTAATGGTTAACAAGCTTGTCTCGCTAGATCAATTGCGACTGAATAGTGGATTCGATACTCACTGGGTGCCCCATACTTTCGGCTTTGTGCCACATCTAAGCTATGCTTAGAAAATCATTTTAGGGCATTTCGACGTGGTGTAATGGTTAACAAGCTTGTCTCGCCAGATCAATTACGGCTGAATAGTGAGTTTGATCCTTACTGGGTGCCCTATATTTTTGACCTTGTGCCACATCTAAGCCTCGTTTAGAAAATCATTGTTGCACTTCGACGTAATGTAATGGTTAACAAGCTTGTCTCGCCGGATCAATTACGACTGAATAGTGAGTTCGATCCTCACTGGGTGTCTTATACTTTCGGCCTTGTGTTATATCTCTATCTATAAAAGGCAGGATGTGTGTGTGTGTGTGTAACGAATGCACGGCCGCAATTTTCGACGGATTTGCACCAAACTTTACATGCACATGCTCCAAGTTAGCCGGAAAGGCCAATACCGACATTGCATTTCCCAACTCCCATCGATAGTGGAAAAAATCAATTTTTTCATACTTCTACGGCAGTTTTCATGTAGTTTGCGGCCATTTTCTACTGGCCAGTGAGAGCCTATAGCTGGCTGCCACGAATAGGCAGGAAGATTCTATTGGCCAGCGTGAGAGCCAACAGCTGACTGACACGAATGTTAACTAGCATGCTAGCATGCAAAAAAAATCGATAGCTACATTCGTCACAAGTAGGAAAAATTTAAATCTGCATGGCACTTTACACCAATTGGCTCATTCGCTTGCTTAAACACAACGTTGATTCTGATTCCGCAGAACTGGGTTGGGTGTGAAAAAGTATTTGTTGTTAACATTCTGTTTTCATTCGGTTTTTCCAGTTCCGAGTCCTTTTTTTAAAGCTGATCGTTTTGTGTTCATTTTGTTTAGTTCTTTTTTTCGTAAAAATATTGAATGTTTAGTATAGAGCTTAGAAAAAATTCGCAGTGTGAGATAGGCAAGAGTTATTTACATTATTTATATTGTTCGGAATGTGGTCACCGACTTTATTGCCATATTCACGACGTTTCGTTCGTTGTACTCACTAAGTTTTTGTTCAGCACTGCAGTAACCAGGTATTGAACTCGCAACTGTTTCGGTCAAGTCAGTGGATCCAACCAACAATTTTATCCACTAGGCTATGTGTCTTCAATAATAAAAAAAGAAAAAAAAAACTTGGAGAGTTGAGAGTTAAAGGGAGATAACTGAGACATGCGGAAGAGCATGGCACGTGGAACTAGAACAATCTTCCCAGGTGGACGAAATAAGGAGTTCAATTCGACATTCCAGTCACTTGGAGAAGGCCGGGGCGTATAACAACCGAAACGCTGGGAATATGACAATAAAATATGACAACAATGTACAGTGTAACCCGGATATAAGAGACCCGGATATAAGAGAAACCCGGATATGAGAGAGATTTTCTCTGATCCCAAATTAGAGCCATACTTACCTAAACAAAATAGACCAAACCCGGATATAAGAGAGACCCGGATATAAGAGAGACTATCTCTGATCCCAAATTAGAGCCATACTTACTTAAACAAAATAGACCAAACTCGGATATAAGAGAAACCCGGATTAAAGAGAAACCCGGATATAAGAGACTTCTTCTCTGGTCCCGACAACTCTCTTATATCCGGGTTACACTGTAAATAATTACAATACTTCATCTCATAAATATAGACAGAAATGTAAAGTTTGTAAAATTTTTCAACAAAATTTTGAATCAGTTTACACCTTTTTATTAGTTCAAACACTTCTATATATTTTGGACGTGTCAGCATCCACTTCATATTTTATGTATACGTTTATTTATCTATTATAACATTGATATACTCGCATAATCATTTTAAAGGGATTTTAATTTTGATATGAACACATATTGTGCTTTGTACCTCATTCAAAAATAATTTTTTTTTAATGAACTTGCAGTAAAAGTTTTGGGCGAAAACACCACATGAAGGTTTGGTAAAAAACAAAAAAAAAAAAAAAAAAAAAAAGGAAGATTTTTCGCTTAATAAGAAGGACCCCAATATGTTTCCAAAGCAATTTGTTCGTTTGTTTACAGGGATCAATTTGCTTGAAGTGTACAAAGTCAGACTCACTTCATCTAAATAGCATTTTGTGTCACGTGCCAGGTCTTAAAATGGCCGCTGGTTAAATTCTGAACGACCTACCTTTTGCTGCAGCAACCATACCGACAGCAACACATCCGTGAGGATGAAAAGGGCTTTTATTGTCGTGAATATTCTTACCCATTTCAGTGGTGGGTCGGGAGCCCCGTTTGTTGACAATAAAAATTGTGGGTGATTGATTGTTTTAACTTATGTTAAGAGCGCATCATCATCATCATCCCTTTGAGTTTTGTAATCGTAGGAGGGAGGAATCCGAATGCAGAAGCCATATTGAATCTCATCTACAACGGTCTATCAACAGCAGCCTTCAGCAATTCTGGTACAGTCATACCTGTCCATTGTTTGACATTGTCCAACCATATTTTTGCGTTGGCGTCCCCTCGCACATACACCTTCAACGGTGCCTTGCATGATGGTCTTGCACAGGCTGTCGTGCCTTGTAATGAGTCCAAAACCCGGCATTTTCGTCCGTTTGACAGTGGCGAGAATAAGAAGTTCCAGGTGGTTACACAAAACTCTCAACACTTTTCTACACAAACTCGTTGGCTTTAATGTTCCCAATACAATCTGCCAAGGAGTTTTCTCATGCATTTGTTCTCAGACGCTTGGATCTTTCTCTCTTTTTCTGCCAATTGTGTCCGCGTTCGTATAGGAGAATGGAGATTACCAGCGATTTGTACAGTGTGTGCTTCGTTTGAAATCTCATTTTGCTCATTCATATTCTTGCCAATTTGGACATCGCTGCCATGCTGCGACAATCCGTGCACAGATTTCCGAATTTCTGGTACCGTCTTCAGACAAGATTGCTCCTAACTATAAAACTGGACACTTCCTCCAGTGAACACCCGTTCGTAGTAATGTTGACACAGGAGTTAGTGTTTATGCTATTCCCCACTAATTTGGATTTCTCGGAGAAACTGCATCATTTGAAGACTTCCAACAGCAGCAAAAAACAAAAAAGGTATCACATATAACTCGAAGATAAAATAATAACATAATCAAGATGTAGATGTTCTACGCTATTTCAAACAAAAGGCTTGAAAGGAAACACCCCCTCGGTATTAGAAAGAGCAATAACAGCTACTGGATCTAAGAAGCCTCTTTCCCCTGTAAAAATTGTTTACAGAGAAAGATTTTTTATATCTTTTATCCTACAGCAGTACTAGCTGTTCGATTTATAATATTTATTTTTGTATAATAACAAAAAATACGGCACGGGGCCAAAACTGGTGATAGGAGAAGGCTGGTCTTCATCTGACTTATCTTAAATTTAGCTAGCCACAATCACTGACCCAAACAAACTATACAATATTCCTTGCACCAAAACACCACATTCTTAATTACCATTCTTGCTACAACCTCAGTGAAATTCTAACTAGTCTCCAAATGTACACGGGCAAGTCGGTGAGAAGATGTAGACGTTCTACGCTATTCTCCTAGGGATGGGTCCGAGGCCAGTCTGCCACTGACTACCGATAGTGCATCCTCCGTGGGTACCTCGGTGAAAACAAGAAGGACAAGTATCTTCCTGCCTATTCGGACTCATCCCTAGGAGAACCGTTCAGTATACCAATAGATAACCTGATGGAGATGCTCAATTTATCTACACAAACAGCACACTTCGGAATGGGACCAGACATATATCGACATGATAAAGGCTTAGCAATGGGCTCACTATTATAACCAGTAATGGCAAACATACATGGAATACTTCGAAAAAATTGCATTAGAATCCATATAACTAAAGCAGACCCTATGGTTTAGATACGTAGATGACACCGTTATACTCTGGCCACATCAGCAAGAGGTCCAACTACTACTGGACCATGCGAACTCAATAAGATCATCGATACAGTTCACAATGGAGAGAGAAAACGACAACAAACTCGCATTCCTAACAGAGCATGGGTTCAAGACATCTGTATAACGCATGCCAACATTCATCGTCCAATACCTTAACTTCAATTCCCACCGCGCATACGGCCGATCTTAAAAATAAATCAATAATTATTGGTGGGTTTATTTAGAAAACCATAGTTAGTATCACATTTTAATTAAAAACATCAATACTTAATATCGGTACAATTTACAATCATAAACCTATAATTAATCCTGTGTAGTTTTTATAACCTATAATTAATCCTGAACAGTTTTTATAAACCTATAATTAATCCTGAGTAGTTTTTATAACCTATAATTAATCCTGAACAGTTTTTATAAACCTATAATTAATCCTGAGTAGTTTTTATAAACCTCTAATTAATCCGTAATAGTTTTTATAAACCTATAATTAACCCTGAGTAGTTTTTATAAACCTATAATTAATCCTGAATAGTTTTTATAAACCTATAATTAACCCTGAACAGTTTTTATAAACCTATAATTAACCCTGAACAATTTCTATAAACCTATAATTAATATTATCGAAATTTTATTTTAATTTTCACAATCAATATAGGATTTTACAAATGGGCATTAATGGGTTAGAAAAGTTTGATTGATACTTTTTTACGGCTTATCAACCCATTGCAGGTTATTTAAAGCCAGACAATATTTTTAGATTGTAAAACTTATGTTTTTGAAGAATAATAATGATTTAGTGGTACAAGTTTTACTAATTAACTCATGCCCAAAGGTATTCGATTGTAAGTATAATAAAAAAAATAAAATAAAATAAAAGGAGACTAGAAAGAAAGAAAGAAAGAAAGTAAAATAAAACGAAGGGAGGAAAAAAGGAAAGAAAGAAAGAAGGAAAAATAGAATATCAGACAGACGAAAGATTTGGAAAGAAAGAAAGAAATAAATAAACAAAAGGAAGGAGGGAAGGAGATAGGAAAGAAAGAAAGAAATAAACAAAAGGAAGGAGGGAAGGAGATAGGAAAGAAAGAAAGAAAGAAAGAAACAAACAAAAGGAAGGAGGGAAGGTGATAGGAAAGAAAGAAAGAAATAAACAAAAGGAAAGAGGGAAGGTGATAGGAAAGAAAGAAAGAAATAAACAAAAGGAAGGAGGGAAGGAGATAGGGAAGAAAGAAAGAAACAAACAAACAAAAGGAAGGAGAGAAGGTGATAGGAAAAAAAGAAAAGGAAGGAGATAGGGAAGAAAGAATTGAATTCAACCCTCCGATTGATAATTCCGATCATGCGTTATCCGCCATCTTCCACATCCAAGATTACAGCGCCTGGTATTTCCAAACTGTCACCCTTATAGGTACTGGCTAGGCTCGACGTTGCTTAACTTCAGAAAAGAATGGAAAGAAAAGACGAAAAAAAAAAGAAAAAGAGAAAGAAGAAAAGGAGACTAAAAGAAAGAAAAAAGAATGTAAAGAAGAAAGAAATGGAACGTAAGGAAGAAAGAAAAAGAGGAGAAAAAAGAATGAAAGGGAAAAGAAAAAAGAAAAGAAAAAAGGGAAGTGGTGAGAAAGAAAAGCAGATAAAGAAAAGCAAACGAAAAGAGAAAAAAAAAAAAAAACAACATTTTTTTCTTCTCGCTTGTGGAATTCACTTCCGGCTTTTCGCTTCCCAGTCAACTTTGACCTTCAAAAATTTAAATGCAATGTCAATCGTTATCTTCTGCCATCTTAATCCCTGTTCTTTTATTGTCCTCGCTCCTTAATAATGTTATCTTTTTCTTATATTCTTTAACTCACTTTTCTTAGTGGCTTTATTGCTATACATGGGGTGAATTGATTATAAAAATAAAGAGAATGGACAAAATAAATGAAAGAAGAATATACGAAAAGGCTATAAAAGGGAGACTGAAGCATTATAAAGATGAAGGAAACGAAAAGGAAGAAAAGAAAAGAAAGAGGCTGTAAGAAACACAAGAGAAGAAATCAAAAGAAAAGGAGGAAGAAAAGAAAAAAAAGGGAGAAAGGATAGAATGAAAGAAGAAATTGGAAGAAAAGGAAAGAAAGAAGGAAGGAAGGACTCGAAAATAAACAGAAAAAAGGAGAAGAAGAGAAAATATGGAGGGAAGAAAGAAAGAAAGAAAGAAAGAAAGAAAGAAAGAAAGAAAGAAAGAAAAAAGAAAGAAAGAAAGGAAGGAACAGTGGAACATCAGACAGACGAAAGATTTGGAAAGAGGGAAAGAAAACAAACAAACCAAAGCAAGCAAGGAAGGAAGGAAGGAAGAAAGGAAGGAAGGCTGGGAGGAAGGAAGAGAGAGAGGGGGAGAAGGAAGGAAGGAAGGAAGGGAGAGAGAGAGGGGGAAGGAAGGAAGGAAGGAAGGAAGGAAGGAAGGAAGGAAGGAAGGAAGGAAGGAAAAATAGACACCGGACACATAGAGGGAGAAGATTTGCAAAGAAAGAAAGACAGAAGATTTGAAAGAAAGAAAGAAAGAAAGAAAGAAAGAAAGAAAGAAAAGAAAAAAGAAAGGAAAGAAAGGAAGGAAGAAAGAAAGAAAGAAAGGAAGAAAGAAAGAGGTTGGAAAGAAAAAAAAAGAAAGGAACAATAGAACATTAGACAGACGAAAGATTTGGAAAGGAAGAAACAAACAAAAGGAAGGAAGGAAGGAAGGCTGGAAGGAAGGAAGGAAGGAAGGAAGGAAGGAAGGAAGGAAGGAATGAAAGAAGGAAGGAAGGAAGGAAGGAAGGAAGGAATGCTAGGAGGAAGAAGGAAAAATAGACATCAGACACGTAAAGGGAAAAGATTTGGAAAGAAAGAAAGAAAGAAAGAAAGAAAGAAAGAAAGAAAAGAGCGAAAGAAAGAAAAAAGAAAGAAAGAAAGCAAGGAATGAAGGAAAGAAAGAAAGGAAGGAAGAATTATGAAAAGAAAGAAAGGAAAGAAAACAGATCACCAGAAATTAAAAGGCAGAAAATTTTGAAAAGAAAAGAAAAGATGGAAAGAAAAGAAAGAAAAGAGCCGGAAGAAAGAAAAACTGAAAAGGACGGAGAGAAAAAGAAAGAATAGAAAAAGAAGAAAAGAAAAAAGAGAAAAGAAAGGAGGGGAAAAAAAAAAAGAAAATACAAGAGAATCAAAGAGAAAAAGGAAAGAAGAAGCGAATAGAGAGAGTGGACATTGATGAGAAAATAGCAA